CCCGCGGGCTCAGGCAATTCACTCACCTCAGCCTCCCAAAGGCACGGGATTACAGGCTGAGCCACCGAGCCTGACTAACAATTTTATTTTAAATAAGCATCTGAGAGCTATTATAGATTATGGAGCAAGGACAGTTTTAAAAAGATGCTGAAGGCAGGTTACTCTTACAGCTGTAGGAAGGTTGAACTAGAAAGAGGAAGAAAACAGGTGGCAGAAGACCAGCTACAATGCTACCACCTCACGCTAGGGATGAAGTGGTGTGCACGTGGGAAACTGATTGAAGGAGAGAGGGGAAAGGCTTAAGGCTTTGTGACACCACTTTCTATCCTTCCTAGTTCCTGCCCCTCCTGAACTGCTCAGTCTCCCTTTCCCTGCGCTCACGGAAGAATGCCACCGCCCATCACCACCACCCACCACCCCAGTGTTCAGAGGATCGCCTACCTAACGTCACAACTGCACACACTGCCTCATCCCCTCAGCCCCAAACCCTTCTCCATCCCACGTTGTCCCCCACCCCCAGACTGTAACTGGAACCTTGTCATTATCTGGGGTTGTTTAACTTCTGAATGATTTAATAACTTTTATTGCAGGTTTGCTTATCACATAAGCAATATAAATTAATTAAAGACAAATTAAAAAAGCAAAATGAAAACAGAAAAGCCCCCAGAACTTCTGGTAACACGTTGGTACATGTCCATGCAGCCCTCTCTCTGTGTGTATTTTCTATGATTCCACCTGCCAGCTCTTCAAAAACAATCTCTCACCTTCCTGGAAAACAGCTTCCCTCCTTCCCTCCCCCACTCCCTTCTGCGCCATTCATTTCTTGCAATCCACCAAGCTCCTTTTGGCTGACTGGCTAGACCCCGCAGCTCATCTCTAACACGCTTTTTCACACTTGCAAGCTCCTTTTGCCTTCTTATCCTTTCATTGCAAGGTCTGGCAAAAGTTGAGCCCTGCACCAGCTCAATTATTCATCTTCCTGGCTGGATCTCCTCGCATGTCTTTCCTACTCCATATGAACAACAGAAACAAACCCTTGCTCAACTCCTCACTTCCTTCCACCTACCAGCATTAAGAGTGTGGCTTCTAGAGTCATCCAGCCTGGGTTCAAATCCCAGCTCTGCCATTTACGAGCTTTAAGAGTCTCCTCATCTTGACCAGGAATGGTGGCTCACATCTATAATCCTAGCGCTCTGGGAGGCAGAGGTGAGAGGGTTGCCTGAGTCCACCGGTTCAAGACCAGTCTGGGCAATTTGGTGAGACCTTATCTCGACAATAAACAAAAAAATTAGCCAGGTGTGGTGGCGCATGCCTGTAGTTTCAGCTACTTGGAAGGCTGAGGCAGAAGGATCGCCTGAGCCCAGCTAGTCAAGGCTGCGGTGGCCATGAGTGTGCCACTGCACTCCAGCCTGGGCGACAGAGTGAGACTCTAACTCAAAAAGAAGATTTGGTTAGTTAATATACCTAAAGTGCTTAGAACAGTACCTAGCAAATGTCAAGGCTGCTAGGTATTCGATTTTATTTCTTTTCCTTTTCTGTCAAACTTCTTGAGAAAGCAGTTTATAATCACTATTGCTACTCTCATCCTCCCAATCACCCTTGATGTTTTTTCTATCAAGAGTAAAGTATTCAAGGTTTTAAACGTAAATTGATTTTAGAGTACTCATAATGAAAAAGAACAATTCTCTACCCCACTCCTTACAACTTTGGTGATCCATTCCCCAGAAGCAGACATTTTGGTTGTTGTTGTTGTTTGAGTCGGAGTCTCACTGTGTTGCCCAAGCTGGAGAGCAGTGGCACACTCACGGCCACCGTAGCCTCAACCTGCTGGGCTCAGGGGATCCTACTGCTTCAGGCTCCCAAGTAGCTAGGACTACAGGCATGCACCACAACACCCAACTACTTTTTTTTTGAGTTGGAGTTTCACTCCTGTCACCCAGGCTGGAGCGCAGTGGCATGCTCATGGCCACTTCAGCCTCGACCTGCTGGGCTTAGGCAAGCCTTCTGCCTCAGCCTTCCAAGTAGCTGGAAATACAGATGCACACCACCATGCCTGGCTAGGTTTTGTGATTTATGGTGGAGAAGAGGTCTCACCAAGTTGCCCAGGCTGGTCTCGAACTCCCAGGCTCAGGCAGTCCTCTCACCTTGGCTTCCCAAAGTGCTGGGATTACAGGTGTGAACCACCTTGCTCAGCCGACACTTTTGTTCTTAGTTTTCTTCTAAGATCTACCTTTATGTTTCTTACTTTTTCTTTTTTTTTTTTTTTTTGAGTTGGGAGTCTCACTCTTGTCGCCCAGGCTGGAGTGCATTGGCATGCTCAAGGCCATTGCAGCCTCGACTTGCTGGGTTTAGGCAATCCTTCTGCCTCAGCCTTCTGAGTAGCTGGAACTACAGATGCGTGCCACCACGCCTGGCTAGTTTTTGTGATTTACTGTAGAGACGAGGTCTCACCAAGTTGCCGAGGCTGGTCTCGAGCCCGTGGGCCCAGGCAATCTTCTCGCCTCAACCTCTCAAAGTGCTGGGATTACAGGCTGAGCCACCGAGCCCGGCTACCTTTGTGTTTCTTAACAGTAACTGTGTATGGCTATTTAATGGTTTATCAAATTGAGACATCATTTATCAACTCTCAGTTATGGCAGATGAGGAGTTAAATATCACACTCACACCTTCTCCATCATTTGCCCTCCCCCGCCCCATCTCCTCAAAATAGTTACATCACAATTTTTTGTTATATCAATTTAGTTTACCTTACAATGACCTTACAAATATTACATTGAAGTTAGTCAAGTAGTGTACAATGATCATATTTCATTTCCTGAACAATTTGTTTCCCCTCTAGAGTTAGTAATTACCCAGTTTTTCGGTTTACTTAAATTCATGTCCCTATCACCAATTCTTCCCAAACTGCACAAAAGAACTACGTAACATCTCTGAATACCATTTCTTTAAATGAACAGACAGGCCAGGGGCTTCCTCAGTGCCATTT